ATGAAGCATCGGTCGATCGAAATACTATCGGTGGTTTGCAGCTGGGTCCCGGGGAGCGCGTTTGGCGGCAGACAAAGGAAACTGCTGGCTCTGGTCTGCAGGGGCACAGCCTTTTTTTTTTTGGTTAAAGAAGACAGCGATGTATCTCCTTTTAGAAGAAAAGCAGTCTGGTTTTGTTCTATAGCTGCTCATGCCAGTGTTGAACCGGAGGGTGATTCCAGTTAGATCAGAATAACGACTTAGGCGAGGCCGGGGTCGTGTTGCTGTTGTGTATCTGCGTTGTGTGACCCTGCAGTGAAAAGGCAGAGCGTGTCCTTGGCCGCGGCGAGTGCGCGGGGCGAGCGGGACACCACGAAGTAGTCGCACTACGGGAGTACAGCAGAAATGAGGTGGTTTGATGCAAGCGCCGTAGTTGTCTGGTTATTGCATTTGGGTGTGTGTGAAAAGCCTTTTTTTTCTTCTTTTGATAGAATTTAGGCCTCAGCAAGAAGGATCTGCCTCTCACATCACCACTTTTTGCCCTCCTTGGAAATGGCAGCTTGTACGGTCACCAATAGATAGATTTCATTTTTCCCTTTTCTCCTCTCCCACACCTTCCTCCCTCCACATTTTGACAAGGACAAGTGACATTCTCTTAGTTAACGCTTATCTTTGCAGGGAAGCTGGTGACTGCTTTCAGTATTTCACCACTTCCTGAGTCTGCTTCTTTATAATGTTTCCTTTGCTTCAGGAAGCCATTGTATGTACTCCACGCGTGAGCTGCTCCTCCTGTATGGCTTTTGTGCATAAACATAATAGCCAGGGATCAATGAGTGGTTTCTCTCTGTTTCTAAAGTAATTGGAGGGGGGAAATTACATATTTAGTATCAAAATTAGCATGCCTGTGGCTGGAGTTGTGATCTTTAACAGCAGCAGCAAGAGCTTTCAGTGGTAATCTGCACTTGCAGGCGACTGTGCACGTTTCATTTTAAATGCTGCTGTCTGTGAGACCAGTGAGTTCTGAAAACTCCGAGACTGATAAGTTTCTGTATTTCAAAAACTCGTATGAGCTGGTTTGGGCAGTTCAGAAGTTTTTTGTTTGGGTGTTTTTTGTGGTGGGGTTTTCTTTGTTTTTCAGATTATTTTTTTTTAGTCCATGTGAAAATGAAAGAGCACTTGTTTGTGGGCTACTGGATACAGTTTGTTTGACAGTAAAATACGTTATTTTTCATGTAGCCCTTAGCTATTTCAGGAGGTTTCTTGGTAAATTGCTCTCCAGTGTGGTAGAGGTGGACTGAAACAAATGCAGTTGATCTTGTTGCATTGTGTATGGAATCTCCCTGAAAGTTGTACTGGGGTGAGGGGGGCAAAGCGAAGGACCACAGTACGTACATGGGTTTTTTCCCTAGGAAGTATTTCAGCTGACTCTTAACTAGCGATGTGTTGAAAAGAGGGATGGACCAAGCAGTGTTAAGATCCTAAGAGTCAGATACCGGTTTCCCTTCCTGTTTTTTTTTTCCTGATAGAATTTTCCTAGTATGTGTCCACGCCCACAAAGTCAAGATCTGAACTTCCGATGTTAAGAATGTACAAGTGAGACCAGTGTTGCCCCCTTCCTCCCAACAGATGTATTCCATGTATACCCCAAGGCATCAGGGAAGGCCTTAGTCCATACCCTTCTGTAGCAGGTATTGAACTTTAGCAGGTACATTCAATAGCTGCAAGGCTCTGCAGTGTTGTGTTGGGATTTGACCACCAGCACAGAGAACCCGAGATGTGTTTCCACTCAGAGGAACTGTACATTTGTGTGCCTGGTCGAATTCTGTCCTCTGTAATTCCCAGTCCTTTTTTGCTATTGGATGCTAATAACATTCAGTCTCTTGGTTAACTGAAATAAACTCACTTTATAACCAATTTACTTCATGCTCAGCCTTGCGTACATTTAAGCGGTGCTATTTATTCTTCTGTTTCAACAAAGCCCAAACTGCTGTAAAATTAGACGTAATAATTTCTCTATTCTTACACATACAGGCAGCTGAAGAAGTTAGATGAAGACAGTTTAACCAAACAACCTGAAGAAGTATTTGATGTATTGGAGAAGCTTGGAGAAGGGTACGTGTTCTATTCCAGTGTGCTCAACGTTTCTCTAAGAACAAATCTATGTAATGGATACATGTTCAGTGGTCTCTGATTTTTCACTTTTGTCATGATCCTGTTCCTGCAAAGATATGCACTAGCATAGTGACTGCATTTGGTTAGTAACAGAATGAAGAATTTGTTTCCTAAGAATTAGATATCTTAATCCAAACAGTAGTGTACAACTTGGCAGTAGGGAGTTAAAACATTGTTGAAAAATGCCAGTTTGGAGTTGATAGAGCTCTGTGGGAACTCAAGAGGTTTTCTAGTTCATCCCTGGTAGCTTCTGCGGAAGATCCACATGGTGGAAATAGACTTCTGTTGTGTTATTCCACTTGGTAAAGCAGAACGTCATGGGAACACTCGGTGAGTGATGTGTTTGCTGCCTTAAGCAGTTTTTAAAAAAAAAAAAAAAAAAAAAAGAGTTGTAAATCTGCCTGGCTGCTGGAAGTAAAGAAGCTGGAAATAAGACAGATAATATCTGACAAGAACAAGCAAACCTCTGACCAGAGCTGTAGCTCTTACTGCTGGGAAAAAAAGAGAGAATTGTGTTTGTTGAATGTGTGTAAAAGGCCCTTTCAAAGCTATTGGCAGTGTAGTGATGGTTGGCTCCTTTCTGACTGCCGCAGTGTGCTGTGACTTATTTGTATTATTACAGTGTTTGGGAGCTAGGATAATTTTTACATTAAAATACAAAATATTTTTAGCAGGAGGATAGTTTATTTTTTCCTGATGTCTGCACTTGCAAAACGCAAAACCGTTAACTTTTGTGTTTGTAAAATGTTACTGTATTCAGTGTTTGTTTAATATTTTGTTCGTAGTTCCTATGGCAGTGTGTTCAAAGCCATTCATAAAGAAACGGGTCAAGTTGTTGCGATTAAACAAGTTCCTGTGGAATCTGACCTGCAAGAGATTATAAAGGAAATATCCATAATGCAGCAATGTGACAGGTAAATGTGTACTGCAGATCCCGTTATCGGCACACAAAGAAAAGTATTGCCTGCGATCTGGCGTTTTATCAAATAAAAGCCGTGATGTTGCCTTAAATGTTTTTTAAAAGGCTGGACTTGTACGATCAAGTTACCTCCTATCAGCTGAGTCATGTTAACTGACCGTTTGGGTAGTGTTAACCCAGCACAGGTAAGACCTTAGCTTGCACCGAGGGAGCGTTCAGCTGAGTCCAATAACCTTGCACTGCTGCCAGCCGAGAGCCACGCGCGTGAGCAGCTCCTGCGGCCTCCCCGTGCGCCGTCACTTGTGGAACAGCGGGAACTTGGGTGTGTGCTGGGACAGCGCTTCCCGTGCCCGAGGAGATGATGAATTCTGAACAAGTTTTGGTCTGGACATAGAAAACTGTTAAAAGAGGGGGTTTTGTTTGTTTGTTTTTAAGGGGCGCGTGGATGAGAGCCACTAATGCATGACTGCTCTTGCATGTGCATCATCATCACGCTGTCATCTGCTTGGTGGCAGAGTTGTCCTTCCCGGCCGTTTTCTGCCTGCGCAGGTTCTAGTGCGGTGCAGGCTGGCTGCTGATCTGAGCATCCCCAGGATAGCTTGCTGGCAGTGCTGCGGGCTGAGGGTTGGCTCTCTGGGTTGTCTTTGCATGTTTCTTATGGGAAAAGATGTTGCACGAACTTAGCTAATGGGGAGCCCATGGGTGTGGAAGAGCTCCTCTCAAAGTGTGTCCTAGGCTGAAAGTTTAAAGTACACTGCTTTATTCTGGTATTATGAATCTAGCCTTGAGAAACACTACTTTGATGGACTTCAGACACAGGAAACCATTTAAAACAAAAGACGTTAGCAGTATATAACTGTGGTCCCAGTCAGTTACTCTGCCTGCTCAGTGAGAGCACTTCACTCTCACTATCTTTAAATGAAGGTGACTGGTGGCACAAGTTTAAAAGAATTTGTGATAAATCTTACTGTGTAACTTAGAAAGCATTATTAGGTGTCTCTTTCTTAAAAGAAAGTATGTATTGCATTATAAGCCTTACAGTTATGAACAGCAGAGGGAGTGAACCACTGGAGCATCACGTTTTCTGTGCAAGCATTTAGGGACGCTGTGCGGTGTGACTGACTTGCTAGTTTTTCAGCTTTTCATTGGAAAATATTCAGCAGAGAATAGATTAAGTGCACTTTTGTTCCTTAGCTGTATTCCTGTAAAATCAGGAACACTTTGTTAGTTTTCTGCTTTACCTTTTCCAGAGGACAGAGGGTTATTCTGACCATTTACCAGATTGTTGGCTCTTTGGGCAGCCAGGTAGCTGGCTGTGAGACACAGTCTTGGGTTGTACTGGATTCCTAAAATACATCGTGGACTAAGCTGTAGAAGATAGTAGGTACATGTGGTAGTGGGGGAACATTCCTCTTGATGAACATGATAGGTATTTTCCAGCAAACTTTGGACCTATTTAAAGTTTCCACTTTGTTGCAAATGCTCTGCAGCAGCTTTACCAGGACCTGCCATGGTCTGTTTCTCATTCCCTTGTCCTGCTGCCTTGCTTGCCACAGCACTGACCTCGTTGTAATCCCATTCAGGGAGCTAAACCAGATTGAAGGCTAATTGCTCCTTATTTCTATGGATTTATTTTCAGACGGTTTAGCTCCCTGAACTGACTTAGTGGCAGGTCAGGTGAGCACCGCTGTGGGGAAGAGGCTTGGTAGGACTGCAGTAGGCTTGTGCGAGTTCAGACCTTTTTGGAATGCTTTTGGTCAGGCTTTCAGTGGCACTTGAACTCTGAATTTCTAAAACTTACTTAAGGACTCTGCAGTGTATTTTGCTTCTTCAATTATGCTGCTTACTGGTATTTGACCCTTTTGTTTTCTTCTTCTTTTTTCACATTTCATAGTCCTCATGTGGTGAAATACTACGGCAGCTATTTTAAGAACACGGACCTGTGGATAGTCATGGAATACTGCGGCGCTGGATCCGTGTCTGATATTATTCGATTACGAAATAAAACTGTACGTCCTTTCTTCTTTGAATGTACAGGTGGGATACATGGGTGTCCAGCAGCTCGAGGAAGCTGAGTAGTTTGGGCATAATTCTCACGATGTTCCATGCCTGACGCGACTGGAGATGCAGGTCCTCCGTTCCTCTGAAAATGAGCAGGCTGAGCACATGGATCGAGTTTTGGTCGTCTGGATAGTGTAACTGGTGGGGCAGATTTTAGTGTGTTGGCTTTCCTGAAAACCCAGACTGATTCTGAGTAACAGACTATGCTTTGCCTTACTTTGGTTATTGCAGGATAAGAAGTGCTAGTTGAGAAAGGGTTTGGTGAAATGCAGTATGTGTGAATATGTATGCAAATCTGATTCTGCTACATAATGCTGTAAGTTGCTAACTAATTTCCCATTAGTATGGCAACCTTTAGTGAAGGCAATTAAATGGGAATTAGAGAATCTCAGGAAAACAGGCTGAAGCAGAATAGTGTTACATCTCTGCAACTGATAGCTGGGCAGTAACTCTTCCTTTCTTTAGCTCACAGAAGAGGAAATTGCTACAATAGTGCAATCAACACTGAAAGGACTAGAGTACCTGCATTTTATGAGGAAAATACACAGGGACATCAAAGCTGGAAATATATTGCTGAATACAGAGGGACATGCTAAACTTGCAGATTTTGGAGTGGCAGGGCAACTTACAGTAAGTAAACCCAAGATGTCTTTGTAACCTGCATGCGAGTGTGACGTGCTTGTGGAGACTTTGAGAAATTGTTCTAAACTGGTTTTTAGCACTTTATGTCAACATAGTGAGATACTAAACCGGCAACGCATTAGAGTAGAGCTTCCTCTGTGGAAGCTGCTATACCTAAGTAATGGTTTGCAGTAGCATTTGCTGTTTTCTTTGGGATACCTGTGACTTCTGTAAGCACATTTCAATTCCTCTTTCCTCTGTATCCCAGTCTTGCTGAATCTATTAATGTGCGTGCACGCAAGCGGAAGATAATTTGGGTGATAATTCATTAATGAATGTTTGTGGCTAATACAATTGCCATTTTCTGGATCTTTATCCTGTTCTTCTTCTCAGGACACAATGGCAAAGCGGAACACAGTTATAGGGACCCCATTTTGGATGGCTCCAGAAGTGATTCAGGAAATTGGGTATAATTGTGTAGCAGACATCTGGTCACTGGGAATCACTGCAATAGAAATGGCTGAAGGAAAACCACCATATGCAGATATTCATCCTATGAGGGTAAGCACTGTGGCCTTTTGAAATGTATTGCTGTATGGAAAGGATTTGCTATTATAGCTGGTTGAACAACATATTAACATGCCATCTTGCTTTTAATTTAGAGTAGATGATTTGTTTTCTGTCAGTTCTTTGTGGTGTTCATTAAATAAAAAACAGGTCCTTGAGAAGGAGAATCTGCATGGGAAGGAAAACCACAATCCTCTTCTGTTAAGACATAGCTGAAGCTCCCTGTGTTGGGTGTGAAGAAACATATTTTCAGCTGTGTTGTCCAAAGTGATTTTTTTTCTTTATGCAAACACAAATTTTTAAGACTTAAAAATGGCAGATTCACACCTTTTGGGGCACAATGGCTCAGACAAGTGTAAGCACCTAGTGAGAGAAGTCGGATTTCTTGCTACTCGATCGCTCTGAGCAAATTTGTGAATATCGGCACAACCTTCAGAAGCAAAATTGTGATGTCTGTCATTCTTTAGTACCAGTGTATGTTTGCATGTATTTATGTTGTACTGTTGGAAAGCTTTAAACTTGGTATGCAAATCTGGAATGTTCTTCTGTTTTCAGGCGATTTTCATGATTCCTACCAATCCACCTCCAACATTCCGGAAACCAGAGCTCTGGTCAGACAATTTCACGGACTTTGTAAAACAGTGTCTTGTTAAGAGCCCGGAGCAGCGTGCTACTGCAACACAGCTTCTGCAGGTCTGCCTCTTCTTGCGAGAACATAAGCTGTAGAGAAGGCTTGCTAGGGTGGGCGGTGCTGCCTGTCTGCTGAGATGTTGGTTTCAGTTCTTGCTGCTCCTGCTCGCTACAGATTTTACTTTTTAGTATCTGATTTTAAAAATCTTACCACTCAAGTTCAACTTTTCAGTTCTTCTCTAAGAACCAGTCTAATGTCAACTTCCTACTTTTGTCTTCTCTGGGTTGTGGGGGTTTTTTTGTTTAGGTTTTTGTTGGAGGTTTTTTTTTACTTTCAAATTTTCACCAGCACTGCCAAGAAACTGCCTCTTAAAACACTAAAAAGGGGAGGCTAAATGCTCGGAATGGTTGAGGCCTGGTGGTGATCTGTGTAATTGGTTCTCGACAGCCAAACTGCTAAGGAAAGAAATGAGTAGGGTTTGGGAGGAGAATGAGCCCAAGGTCTCACAGCAGTAGTGCCTTTGGAGCATGGTCTAGTTTGGAGGATGGGAGGCCTCCCTCCTGTGCCAAACAGAGGTATTGGATTTTTATTTTAGTAATGTTTTGAGTTAAACCTTAATTTTTATTGGAAGGAGGCCATAGTAACAGTGTTTTTCTGTTAAATCTTGGTTTGGATGCGGTGCTTATTTGTTTTTAACATACTTCTCAGCATCCATTTGTTAAAAGTGCCAAAGGAGTGTCAATTCTGCGAGACTTGATCAATGAAGCAATGGATATCAAGCTGAAACGTCAAGAGGCCCAACAGCGTGAACTGGATCAAGATGATGAAGAAAATTCAGTGAGTATTTAATAGCAACAGTGTACAAAGTCCAAACTCTTTCTCCTTTCGTAAGGCTTAGCTGCTTTGATTTTTGGTTTCGTGATATTTTGTCCAATTGCTCATGAATTTGACTTGGTTCTCGAGCTTTCTCCTTTATGACTGCTTAAGCCAGTGCTTGGTCCCTGCTCAGTTTTGTATTTGAGGGGGATAGCCAGCACGTATGGCTTACTGTTTAGCTTAGATTGTAGGTGGAGACCTGTGACTGAATATGTCTACGAAGTAATGTATGCAAAAGGCTTGATACGTTTTCCCAGTTGGATTATATTATTTATGCTGTAATGAGAATTTTTCATTGCAGGTTCAGGTCTTAGACTGCTCTCCTAGTATAAAATAACAGTATAATCCGTGATGCACTATGATATAAGTATGTTGTGTTGTTTTACTATTGTTGTGCTTTAGAACCCCCCTTATAGAAACTTTCTACCACACAAGAGCAACCGACAGAAACCTGAGGTGAGGGCATGACAAGTGTTCAGGGGATTGCTGTGAATTTAAGTTTGGGCTCCTTGTTTCAGTGGTTACAGCATGTGAATATGGAAAGCATGTTGAAAGCTGGTTTTTGAGCTTCTGCCTGCTTCAACCTGAATAAATGAAATGGGCAACAAAAGGCATTGTGTGCCAGTCCTTTGCAGAGGTTAAACTTGAATAGCATGGTTCACAGTATCTGTACGGAAGACCTTGTTCATCTAGATTTCCACTTCAGGACCACCTGTTTATTCAGTGTGGAAGTAATTTTATTGGTTGTGTTGCCATGATGTGGACTCTGAGTATTGTCCCTTCCCTTTCTTTTTCATTTCTGACTGATCTGGAGTCACGTTGCTGAGAGATGGTGTCTGTAGTGGAGTTGAGTGGCCTCCGTCAGTGTGTGTGTGTTTTCCCAAAGCTTCTCTATTCCATGTCTGCTAGCAGAAAAGTGTTCCCAAGCACTTCCCAAGTGCTGTGGAAATTTCTGCTGTAGTCCTCTGTTAAATGACATGTAGCCAACAAATTTATTACTTCCTCTCACCTGCTCATCTCCACATAAAATTACTTTTCCTCCCTTAAAATCTTGTGTAGTTTTCTCCTCCTCTTGCTCTTGATTTTGAGGTTGGGAAGTAAATTATATAGACACCATTGACAGAACAGATAAAACACATGAAACACCTGAACATGGAGTGGTGTACTTTCTTTCAATGACATTGAGATGGAGTATTACAACTTGACGTGCAAGACCTGTGTTTTCCCTCTAGCGCTACTACAGATCAGTAAGCCCATGGTCACATATAAAGAACTATGAACTTCATCCTTATAACAAAGACGAGCATCTCCTCCAAGGTGAGGTGCCTAGAAACTCTACTGTAAACCTGGGAAGCGGATTCTTTTCTTGTGGTTGGATAGCTGGTCCACGTTTCCAAGAAACTAAATAGATTGTGGAAATTTTGACCTTGTTCTTCATGAACTCCTGGTCACAATAGATACTTAGTGAAGCACATAACACCTAATGAAACTACTCCCTCTGGCTAACGTAACTATCTGAGCAACGAGAAGTTGTCCTACAAGAATTTTTCAGGAGCTTGTGTTTTCATACAAAGTCAGTCTCTTCAGCCTTGACAGCAACAATTCAAACTTCTGCAATATTAGTACCTGCTAACAAATGGAAAGAGAAGAAATAATTTTCATCTGAAAAAAGTGGCTGGACTTTGATAATTTATTTCATTCCTTTTTAAAAATTTGCAAATTCAGTTCATTTTTCTTCAGTGTTTCCAAAGTTTATAGCAAGTAAAACTACCTAAATGTTAAAGACAGACTCCTAAAAAGTAGGGTGATTGTTTTTCTTCAGTGTGCCACATGCACTCCAAACTTAAACCTGTTGTCGTCTAATAGCTAGTGACTCTTCAGTGAACTTCCACTTGAGATAGGGGGTTTAGGTCAACCATTGAAACTGGCAACATGAATAGAAACCCTAATGACTGAATGAGTCTTGTAATCTACTGTTAGGGACAGGTCACCAGGTCAGAAATTAGATAAAACTTGCACTGAGAAGTTTCTGCTGATTATTTATCTGTTCTCTTATTTATCATGCTGGCAGAAAAGCATGAAGACTTTTCATTACCTGTTTGGAGATGACAGGGAGAGAACTAAGTGCATAAAACATGGTGTCGCTTCTATGTGTATCTGTGAAAGTCTCTGAATTAGTAAAACTTGCCAGTGTCCGTGAATACAGACATTCTGCATGGGACTTGACCACCGTCAGTAAAAATGTATTTATGGCGTCCTTGCACAGGAAGAAGATGAAACCGATTCAGGTACCATGGTGAGGGCGAGCGGAGATGAAACTGGTACCATAAGAGCTGTCAATACGATGAGTGATGGCGCCAACACAATGATAGAACATGATGGCACCTTGGAATCCCAGTTGGGTACGATGGTCATAAACTCAGAAGAGGAAGAGGAGGAGGGCACCATGAAAAGTAAGAAAACATCTTTAACTTCTAGAATATTACTTAGGCTCTAGTGTGGGCTATGATACGTATTCCCAACCTGCTTTGGTATTTTTGGTAGCTTATTGTGATGTCTTTTGGTTGCAGGGAGCTAAAACTCTTAGGTCAATGCCCTCTGGCAATAGAGACTAGAGACACTTTCTAGGTCCAAGTTTAAAGCCATCCTTTTAGTCTTGCACTTGGTATGGCTGATGAGTTGTGCTCAATTTCTATAAGCTTCTGTGCTGATCAAATAAGATCTGATCGTAGCTAGTAGGGGTTTTTTTTGTTGCTTCTTTTTTGTCTGTTTTGTCTTTTTCACAGAATGTAGAGGAGGGAGACTCTAGCATAGGGTTAATAAAAAAAAAAAAAATTGTGTTGCTTTAGAAGGTGGTCTGACTGTAACCTGACATCTGAGAACAGCAAGTCTGTTTCAGAACCGATGGGTCAAATTAAGGGCTATGTTTCTGAAATAAATATCTTGCACCTTTCAAGCACAGCAAGGCACACTGGGAGGAGCTAGCATCTCTCTAGACTTGTGTGTTTCTTCAGTGTTACTTTAATTGCTAAGGACAACTGAATAAACTGTCTGTTGCTGTTTTGACACATTCAAGTTGAAATCCGCTTCACCCTAAAATAGAAAAGCTAACTAACACTACAAGCCTTGTCATGGGATGTAAGATTTAAAATAATGTGACTTTGATCCCTGATAGTCTGTGGAAGATCTTGCAGCTTGAGCTGGAAAAGAGTTAAAAATGTTTCTTTGAGTGAAGAAATGGCAGGGAGACCCACTCTGGAAAGGTATGACTAGAAGAAAAAGAATCTTTTCTCAGTTATGGTTCCTCATAGAAATCTGTTCTCGCTGATTGGGTAGTCTCAGCAGTATTGAGACAGAGGTAGTCAGAGATGACTCAGCTGGCCAGCACGGGTGTTTGTTCAAGGACTGAGGAAAGTGCTGAGTGGGGGCTCAGCAGTAGTAAAATATGACCATCATAGGCAAGGCTTGTTCTTTCAGCTCTTGCACTGCTTCCAAAGACTTCCTTGACCATCTGACTTTTGAACCTTTAGCTCTTGTGGGAGAGGAGAAAATTCTTACCAGGAGTTTGGAAAAATCCTTTTTGCAGGAATTTCTGTGTTGAAAGCTTCTTCCATGTGGGGGCCCTCTAGACCTTGTGGAAAGATACTGGTTTTGAGAGAGAAATTTCAGTAGAACCCGTTTAAGGAGTTTTCCAAACTTTGGCAAACACCAGTTCAGCACATTAAAAGACAGAGGTGTCAGGCCAGGTAGCGTCTTGTGGCAACAAAGATGATGGAGCAATGCTGTCAGGTTTTGTGGAACAAGGTAAGTCTAGCAAGGAGATGGGTAGCTAGAGTAGCTAAAAGGTCACCCGAAGAGTGGGAGATATTAACAGCCTTAGACAAACCTAGTGAAGTCGCAGCTTCTTTGCAAATAAACAATGCTGTTAGTTTCTCATCCTCGGTGTGTATTGTTCCATTTCGTGATTCACAGTAACACAGGTTTTACTGCCTGGGGTGCTTCTGTCCTGGCTACCAAAGGTGTGTGCGTGCCTCTTCAGTTTATCTTCCTGTGTTTGACGTGGGCGTAGCTTCTTGCCATCTTTTTAAGATTGCAGTGCTTGTGACTCAAAAACACCTCATGCTGTCTACGAAGTACTGTACAGAGGTTTGAGGAGATGCCTTTGATAATATCTCTTTTTGCAAGGACATACTCTCATTTTGAGTAGAATCAGTTATAAGGATATAGCGATGTCTTTAATATAGTGCCGTATCTAACCTCAAGAGGGAGCTCCCGAACAAGCTCCAAGAGCTGTGGATCTCTGACTAGAAAGTCGAGTTTGTATTTTAACCCCCCCTTAGACTTCAGACTTCTTAAAAACACACTGTTCTTCGACCACTGCTGTGTGGTGGTATTCGAAGCTGAGTATGCGGCAGAAGTGCTTGAGCAGCTCTGCCTGCTGGAGGAAGCATTTTGACATCCTGGGTGCAAGGGATGGTTGACACTGATGCAGCTTTTGTGTCGATGAAACCCAGCGGCACTGGGCACTCTCTGCTGCAGGTTGTGCTGCATTTTAATAACTTGTACCTCGATTCCAAGAAATTTAATGAAAATGATTGTACCAGACTAAAAATTAACTTTTCCTTAGCACCTTATTCTCCTCCTCCCCAGTAGCATAATTCTGAAATTCTGGCTGCTGCACAGAGCAGTTCTGTGTTTGTTTCTTGGACATACTGCAAGTGCCTTTGAGCAGCTTGCCGTTCATGTGAATTGCCTATAGCTCCAGTTTTTTCAGCTTGCCATTTCCATATTCATGTTCTCATAACATTCAGTTAAATTGATTTAACTGTAAAGCTCATCAGCCTGCTGCAGAACGCTCTGGAGCAAGTTCTTTTTGTAATCTTAAATACAAATGTAATAATGCTGTTTGGAAACCACTGAGTTTGAAGAAGCTTCATTGATTCATGTTTTTAAAGACGTCTATATTTCATTTGGCAGCTTGTGTTATGACTCACAATAAAACCTGTTTTAAGTCAATAAAAAAGTTCTGATTTTTCTTGCACAGCATTAGTAGGAGAATTTAGCTTCCCTAGGTATAGTGGGCTTTTTCACTGCTGGCTTCTGAGCTTCTGTTCTAGCCTTTTTCCTGATTTTAAAAAAAATAAATCTTTGTCTTCACCAGTTTTTGGTTTGGTTTTATTTCTTTTTAATGTAAAAAGTGTTTATGGGACATTGAAATATGATGCTTTAGGTATGGCTGTCTTAGGAATCTCTAGCAAACAATTTCCAGTAGCCTTGAAAGTGATTCTTGCATAAATCAATTCATGACTTTTCAGGCTCAGAGGAAAAGCATTCGTAAATTCCAGTATTTTACATTGTCGGGAGAGTTTTGGTTTTAGTCAATTGAGCTGTAATTCAGTTTGCTTAAATTCTTTCATTTGCTTGGCTTTTTTCTGGGCACTCGATATAAATACTCAGGCAGCATTAAAAATGTCACTGTGACATTCTGTTACGCATTTTGAAAGCACTCAAGTGATTGCCTGAAACCGCAGATACTACATTGTGCTGCGACACATTTTACTTATAAATCGATTGCTAACAGATTGCTTATGGATTGCAGTTAAACTAGTCCAGGAAAACTTTGGAAGTAGCTGAAGAACTAGAGATGAAGAATGATCTGTAGTAAGACATTTCCATTGTGCTTGAGATCTGGAATAACTTTTGAACTGTTAATATGTCTGAATTTTATTTTTTTTTTAATTTTTCTATGAGAGAATATATAGTGCTAGTAAACAATGCAGCATTCTTTACTCTTTGGGTTTGTTTTGCTTTTTCTGCTTTATTTGCTGTAGGTCTTTAGATAGTGGAAACTTGGCATAAGTTTGTCCCTTCAATTCAGAGAGCGGAATATGATGTTATTGTAAAGCAGATAAACATACTGCCTTCTTGGATGCTGCAATGCGATCAGATCCAAGTGAAATAGGATCTAGTTTGTCTAATACTGTAATCAGTCTTATTTTCTATGTTAAATTGCCTATTGCTTGTTTAAGCACCAAATAAAATGACACTGGAGAATGTAGAACTGCCAACAGTGGTGTGAGTTGGGCTGTCTGGTTTTTGGGTGGAGATGAATGAGGGATCTGGAGACGGTGGAAGAATTGTGGGTGTGGGGTTCCTGTTAATGCGGCACACGTTCAGAAGAGGTAGCCCAGAAGCTCTAATAACGCTGTTGCCTCTGCCATGATAATGTAAGGTGCAAGTGAAAATTCTTAGTAATTTCTGAATGTTTCAAATAAAAAATTCTGGGCTTCATTCTTATAATACAGTTAGGGGTGGTTTTGGGTTTTGTTACGCTTTTACCATGCTTGCACTGCTAAGCATGGTTGTGTCCTTTTAAAAAGATATTTCCCCTTTTGAGGGGAGATGGAGTTTCATTAGCAAATTAAATGAGCTGAGATGCAAACTTGGCGATTTCCTATTAGAAAAACGATTTGGAGTAAGCTTGTTAGTCTTGGTGGCTTTGCAAGACATCCAGTGAGTGACACTTAAACCTAAACCAGAGAAGTGTTACTGCCAAGACTTAAGAAACTTTTTTTTCCCCGCTAATTAACCTCTAATTTTTCATGTAAAGCCATGACTGTAAAAGCTGTAACGTGAACAGCAGAACGAATATGGATGGCAGAAGCTTAAGGTGATCAAATTAATGTTATAATTGAGTAAAGTATTACTGGTATGTAGCTGAGGTAGCTATAGATGGTGTAATATCAGTAGTTGTCCAAAAAAGTGCAGGTGCATGTTACCCAAATTGCTGATGCAGGTACTGTAGAGAATAGCTCCGCATCTTGTCAGGATTTACGTCATGTGTATGTCAAAGATATTGGCTGTGTTTTGCCTCTGGTTTTCTCTGTAGACAACAGCTCTTCGTAGCGCCTCCCATTACTTAGTGTTATTAATGTCCACTGGTACACTTCTGTGTTTAAAATAAATTGGTCCTTTTGGGCATAATTGGGCCATAAAACACTTAGCGTTATGCATTTAAAATAACACACTGTTTATAGAAACACCTACATTAATTAAATTCTTCTCAAACTTTAAGCAGCATTATACTGCCACTCTTGAGGTGTGGAGAATACAAATCTTCACAGATAAGTTTTCCAACTGTGTTACTTTTTGATTTTTTTATCTTAACAGCAGCCTTGCTGGCAAACTTAACGTCAACAGTGACCAGCACAGGTTATTTATGAATATCAATCCTGCAGACAGGATTTTTGAGCAATGGTAGGAGCTGTGTGTGCTGTCATCTTGTTGTGGGGTTTTTGCTGTGGGTTTTGCTTTTTCTGTTTGAATAATGGCAGGCTACTGGACCTCTGTGCAGTGTGCTGGCAACTGAAACACTGGTTTTGTGCAGACTGAAGCAGCATGAAGAAAAATTAAGTCCAGGATCTAAGTTCAATGCTGATCCATCTTTGATTGT